GATTTTTGCATTTCTGAAGTCATTTAGAATGATATAAAACAGGTTAGCTAAAACTAGCATAAACAACCCCATAATTAAATTTATATTAAAATCAGTCACAAAGCAGTAATATTGTTAGCCCTTCTCATCTTGTAGCATATATTTGCTTAATCCTTTCTTATGCATATTTATGCAGGGAAACAATCCTCTTATTTGCTCATGTCCTAGAAAAAGATTTTTTTAGCTGGGATGCACTTTTATGTCTAGTTTTGTGGCTAAACACAAAACATAGCCGGATTAGTGTGAATGATCTTTCATCTGCTTCAGTTGGTTTCTGGGAGCTTTATTGGTCAGGATGGTACAGTCACAGTAATCAGAGCTCAGTTAACCTCCCAGCTGGCTGATTATTTATCACAGTGAGCCATAGCTTGTTTTATCCCTCATTTATTTTCTACAATGGCTGGGTCACAGATCTTATGAGGCCACAAGTGAAGTTTGTGGACCACAAGCCCCTATAAAACTTTCTGGAATAGTAATTTGTTTATTTTATTTTTTTAAGATTTTGGGGAGAAAAGTTTGGGAGGGATGCTAAGAGGCTAAAATGAATTTATTTATTTGATTTTTATCTCACCTTAATACACAATACCCAGTCCTCCTGTTTTCTCCACAACAACAATCTTATTGAGTGGGTTGGAGTGAGTGAAAGTGACTGGGTGAAAGTCACCCAGCAGGCTTTCATGCATAAGGTGGGACTAGAACTCAGTCTCCTAGTTTCTAGTCCACATCTTAATCACCACATCACACTGGCTCTTCAAGGATAGCTTTTGTTTTTCAAAAGTAAAAGCCCTAGAATGCTTTTGAAACAAAATGGTTGCCTATTGTACTACTTTGCAACAGATAACATATTTGTCTTCAGTCATTTTTCATTCAGTTTACTTCCTGGTCAACCTATGGCTTACCAAGACCTGTGAATTCTCCAAATAATAGAGCCAATTAGCAAAGTCTACCTGAGGTGCCTAAGGAATCTGGTTGGTTGCTTGAAGATTTTCCAAGCAGTTTGGCAGAAAGTCCTCCATATGCTTCAACCTTGGAGCTCAGAGATGAAAAAGGCACCAAGTGATCTCATTGCCTATTGATCTTATCAAATGTACCAAGGAATCCAGAGAGATAGTAGCAGAAGTGATGCCTAAAATTGCAGTGGTGTAAGACAAGGAATTAGAATATGAATTGAGTACAGGTATCAATCCAGATTTAGTGTGGCTGTTTCTTGACTGTGGTTACTTCAGTGACAAAATTGTGTTATGTTTAAGATGACCCTGTTAATGAAGGACAGAAGGAAAAACTTTCCTGCAGCACACAGCATATTTGCTGAATATTTTGTCAATAAAAGTTAGTCAGCCAGGTCTAGGCTGCTCATGAACATAATTCTATGAAGAGACTTGGAGAAGGTCTTGCATGGATAACTGCGATTTGTTTGGTCTTGTGAATTCTCAAGAAGTGGTAAGATCCTTTGCATCAAGAACTCTGCCACCTGAGAGCTAGATCCATGCCCCACCTGGCTCTTTTGAGCAACTATATGTCTGCATTTAGATTCAACAAATGACTAATGCTTCTTTGGGAGAAGGGATGGTATGTGTCATCTTGGAAGAGGTAGTGGTACACTTGCTCCTGAAGAAGTATCTTTGGGGGAGAAATTGTTGAAGAAAAAGTGGGATGACAATTGCAGAGAAGATGATCTGAATGCGTTCCAGTATTGGTTCAGATTAGATATGTAATCAAAATAACATTACTGTAGAAACTGTAGTAGATATTCTTTCTTGGGAACTAAATAGAGGGAGTGAGGCCCTTCTCATCCTACTTGCTGTCAGCAGCAATCAATATGACTGATTCTAGTATCCTTAAGCACTTTGAGAGGAGGGGTGTACTGTACTCCTTCCTGAATTGGAAGTTCTAGTTCATAGCATGGGACAGATAAACAGGTGAACCCTCTCTGTGGGGGTACCACAGTTTTTGCTTATTTTCCCCATACATTTAATATCTGTATGAAACACTATTGGAACTATTTAACATTCATTCACACAATATCAATGTACCATATATATCCCATAAATCTTAGCACAGTCCAATAAACCAATTACTGTATCAAGTCCTGAAATTACTTAAGCCACTATTAATGGATTTAAACCTATTAAGAATTAAGATAAAAAATTAAGTTCACTGGAGCAGTACCAGCATGTTCTCCATGTACTTATTTAGGAAGAAAAGATGAACCTTACATATTTTAAAGGGCACAATGTTTCTTTCACAATGCTGAATCTCTCTTGTCAATTTAAGTGTCCTGCAATGGCTCAAAAGCGTCTGCTTTTCTTATCTGGACAAAGAAGCAGAAGCTGAGAATTCCTATGATTTGGTAGAAATCCATTTTGCTTCTATCTCAGCTTGGAATTTGAGATTGCAAATTAGAACGGAAGAGCCATTGTGTCTGGATATGAAAGGAATTCTTGGTTACTAGTATAGGGATTCAGTTAAATTCTTTTTGCAACATTTAAGGACTATATTAATTAACCAATATATGTTGACAAGCCAGTAGAGTATTCTTAAACTGTTGGGATAAGAACACATTATAAAATTTATGTTTTATAGTGTGTTACTGTATTGGGATGAAAAAAACCTAAAAACCGAAAATGACTCAATGTTAATGATAGTTTTCTAGGACTTTGGTTAACAGACAATTGTTTTTTTTTTCTAATCTGTTGCCCTGTCTAATGTTAGACAATACTGCAGTGTACTGGTTTTCCTTTACACAGAGATTGGAGAAGGGATTACTTTTTGTTGAAATACGGTCATACAATTATTTAAATGGATTTAAAGAATATAATGTTCAGCTAACCAAAGTATAATTGGTATATGTGCAATAGTAGTCTCAATTGTTTTACATAGTGGGCAGAGCTATTATATTCCACACATAATTAGGGTAGCAATACATAAATTCAGGAGAACCCCAGATTTTAAAGACACAAAAAGTAGTGCCTAAATTTCCCAAGAACAAACCAATTAAACTCTGAGTTAGATCAATGGTCTCAAAATCCTGGCTAATAGGCTATGATAATCATCATTAGATAGCAAAAAGTTTGTTTCTCTTAACTGCAATATAGGACTCACTTGGATTTGTGCAGCAGGTGCTGCCATTGTATAGGAATCAGAGTTCAGATTAGGAGTTTGGTGTGTGTGAGATGCATTCAACTGTGAAGTGTATCCACATAATTTCTCAAAACAATGACTGACCTATCAACTTGTCAGCAAATTTAGGTGAGAGGAAAGAGTGGCTGCCATCTACTGGCGACCCAGATTTTACAACCCAGATACCACCACTTGATAAGTGTTATAAATTGCTGAGAGGTCTAAAAAATAATGTCACTAATTCTTGTGTCAAATCAAACATATTAAGTGTCAAACCAAAGCATGCAAATTAAAGCATACACTATAGCTCTGTCAACCAAAAGGATAGAAGAGGAAATTTTTTACTGCATACTTAAGCCAGATTTGTACTGGTTACATCCAGTGGTAGAATGACCTTTTCAGAAGAGCATCCCACAGGAGAGGAACTGAGAAAGACTAAAATTGTACTTTCAGTTACACACATGTAACTGGACAAGCTGGATACAATTTTCAGGGCTTAGAGTCTTCTAGGTTGACCAGGTTTGAAAAAAAGAAGATAAGGAAAGTGCCTATGGAAGCTGGGTTCCTAGTTTGCCTAAAGGATAAACATTGCAAAACAGGCACTGAACACAGGGCTCAGATGGAAGGAAGCAGTTCCTTAGCAGCTCTCTTGGACCAATTGTGATCAAGCAGATCTCCACTCCATTTTACCTCAAACCTCCTCTTCCTCCATGCATCATAGATTGGCTTGCATTTTTTAATGAAAATACTCACTTCATGCCAGAACACCTTGGATTGGATTGGCTTCAGCCTGGCTCCACAGGGTAGTGTGGGAGTGCTAGCAGTGAGATGGAAATTCCATTAGGAGGGAAGGGTGTGTGTGTGTGTGTGTGCCTGTGTGTTGATGATCCCAATGTTCCCCTTTCTGAAATAAAATTGGAAGCTGGAGAGGTCATTAAATGGAAGGGAAAAAACCCTGTAAACTAGGTCTCCTTGTAAGAAGCAGCTAAATTGTTAAGACTTATAAAAGGCCACTACTCTGATCTAAGACTGACAATTAACCTTTGAAGTTTAACAGAAGGAAAGTGGTAGTTTACTGTAAAACAAAACAAACAAAAAGGGACAAAATCAATCACACCCTGTGTTTGTGTATGTGTCAGTCGGATACATAGGTAATGTGGTTACTTTGTTTCTATTTCCCCCACACCTCCAAACTTTGTTTTACTCTTGTGGTATTCCCTAGCAAATTTTTCAGTATTGAGAGCCTGAGGCTTTGTAAGAGTTGGCTGCAAATAGTTCTTTAAAATAAATTCTGGTTCTTTTAAAGGACACAATAAAATAGCTAGAACCCCACTGAGTTTTCAAGATTGCCAGTGCAGCAAACTAAATTAGTTGTCCAAGTGTTCATCAGTTTCAACGAACAATTTGGGCTGCACTCTTATGCCTATTCATTTGGAAATAAAGGCCATTTGAGTTAAATGGGGCTGTCTGATCATTAAAATCTTGAAAAAGGAAGATAAGGGATTGGTGTTTGGGTTTAAGAATGCATCTTTCCTTGCACAGTCAACAAGCCCATTTGATGAAAAGCAAGGATGAACGTTCTCCCTTGAGGTGCTACTTTTCTGCCGAGGAAGAGACCGCATCCCCGCATCTCCTATTTTGGGCAATCCTGAACGCCCCCGCTGTATGATTTGGTCCAGGGTGATTTGTTTGCCAAGCCCTCCCCGCCCCCAAGAGATTCACTTTCACTCCGCTTGTTATCCTCTCCATGCGGCTGAAAGTTATAGCGCCTGCGCAGGGAATGGAGACCCAAACATGCCAGGCGGGGTTTAGCTGGTAACCCTCCTCTTCGCCCAGGCTGGCCTCCCTCCACGTCGATTAAAGATGCCCCGCGGGAGTTAGCGGAACGCGCGAGGCTCGCCTTTGCCTGGGAGCAGCGAGGCTCGATCGTCAGTTGCGAAGCCCGGGCAGGCGAAGGCAGGTTGGCCGGAGGGGAGGTCGGCAGGCGCGGGAGCCCTTGTGGTGCCCGAGGGTTGTCGGAGCTTGGGACCGGGCCAGCTGGTGAGGTGAAGGAGGCAGCTTCTGATTTCTCCCTCCTCTTCCTTTTTTCGCCGGCAGAAGCTCTCCCACTTTCCGGCCGGCACCCGATTTGCGGAACTCAGAGGGTTCAACACTCAGGCCGGTAAGAAGGGGACGCCCCGTTTGTGTGTTTGTCTATATGGGCGAGCTGAATTGGGAGAGAAAGAGGCAACTAAACTGGGCAAACCCGAGGGCGGGGTTAGGGTGGCTCCCTCAAGGTAGTGTTGTTGTTTTTTGGGTGTGTGTGTGCAGTTTTGTTGAAAATTAGGGGGAAATCTTGTTTCTTGTGCTTTGAGCCCAAGATTATATTTCCCCTTTTCGTCTGTATCGGAGATCTTGGTGGCCTCTTGATCCAGAAACTGCGGCAGCCACGTTCGTGCTGAAGGACCGCGGGACCAGCCCAGCAAAGCCCCCCTTCAAAGAGGACGCGCGGAGGGGTCCTCCAGGCTAACTTCGTAGAAACTGCTCTGCTGCTACAAAGTAGCCTTTTCCTCTGGGCTTGGTCGCACCGGATTCCTTTGGAAAAATGCCTGTTAACTTAAAGTCAGAGTTTTCCAGGATGCTTCCGCAGGAATTCTGGGAGTTGAAGTCCACGCATCTTAAAGCTGCGAAGTTGGAAAATAGTAACTTAAATCCTTCTTGATTCAGGATGTACATCTTATTCTCTCTGTTAACCAGAACGGTCAAATATGACCGTTTGTAATGGGAGAGATAAGTGCAACTTTAACTAATTATTTCTATGTAAATGACCAGCTTGTTTACTTCTTGCCTTTCCTAATTTCTAGTTCCTGAACATTCTTATTTTCAGTAAAATCTAGAACAGTACTACTCTTTGTTATTCACCAACTCTGCTGTGGCCCTAATATTGGCAGAATTTCATCCTAAGAGCTAAAAGATAATACTGTAGCTGAAGTGTGTTTTGAAGAACAGTTCTATAAGACTGACATTCTGGTCAGTTGGGGTTTGAAAAGTGTAGTCCAGAACATCTGGAGGACATCTTGTTGCCTTCTGAATTTTTGTTTCCATGCTTTAGTCCAGAAAGATAAAACGGCTGTGGTCCAAAATTAACATTTATCAATGTCACTAGAACATGAAAAATTAAACCCTGATCCCATTTATTAAACTCGTAGGTAATGGAAAATTCTGAAAACGTTTTAGTGGCACTAACATAAAATTATTGCCATAAGGGCATGGCTTTCACAAAATGGCTGCCATGGGGATATAGTTATTCACAAAAAGGAACTGGACCAGCCTACAATTTAAATAGTTCTGTAAAATGCATACAGCATTCCTGGTCTTTATTTTTTCAATAGAAAAATGCTTGTACATCAAATACTGAATGTTTACAATGAGTGCCTTTTGTTTTCTATTTTTTTTGTTTAAAAACATGATACTTTGAAGACTTTAAATATAATTTGACCTGGTGTCTAGGAATTTTTTAAAATATTAGCAAAACATATTTCTAATCCAAGAATGTCTTCAAAAAATCAAATTGTTTTTCTTTGAGATTTGCTTAGGATCTGTTCACTAAGACACATTATTTCTGTTATAGGTAACTGTAGCAATGTACTCTATTTGCAGAATAGACCACTTCGGAAAGGCAAAAAGAAACCCCCAATATCCTTCTGTGATAAACAGCTTTAAAAATATTTCTGATTCCTAAACTCATCAATTAGTACAGAAATGCACAGATGTCATCCCTGCAGAGAATTTCTGAATCAGTGCTATATGGTGATAATATCCACTTATATATCTGCACCCTGGGCTGGGCAGTTGATATTGTTGCAGTGCGGACCCAGTGCCTAGAAGTTGTGAAGGTCTGGATGGGGAAGGTTTGACTCTGGCTCAACCCTGGCAAGATGCAATAGCCTGTTTTTGGCTTCTCATGGCTTGCTGATGTGTAATGTTATACTGTAGATGGTGGAAACGATACTGGACTTGAAGGGTTGGACAATTTGGGAGATCTCCTACAGACATGACGACTTGTCAAGGACCATGCAAGAGTAGTCTTTGCATAGATTCATCTTGTCCGCCAATTGTCCCCTTTTCTGGACTTGCTCATGGTTACTCATGCCTTGGTCACTTGGCTGACTATTGTAGCATGCTGTCCATGGGGCTGCCATTGAAGACCACCTTGAAATTAGCAATTGGCTCAGAATTGCAGTATTGCTGGTTATTGTCTTTAAAGTTCTACATGACCTGGTGCCAGGTTATTTGAAAAACTCCCTGAGGGTATCTGCTTGTCTCACCAGTTCAAATAGAGTAGTCATGCTCCAGGTCCCATTCCACAATTTTTGCCATCTAGTGGGACCTGGCAGTCTTTGCTCTGTGGAATTCTTCCCCTTATGATCTGGCATCCACTCACACTCTTGATTTTCTAGAAAGCTATAAAAACCTGGATCTTCCCCCAAGTACTCAGACAGGGTGAGTTGGTGCCTGAAGTTGCTAGTGTTGGCTATATTCAGAGGTGGTATTCAGCTACTTCTGACCAGTTCTGGAGAACCAGTAGTGGAAATTTTGAGTAGTTCGGAGAACTGGCAAATACCACCTCTGACTGGAGATTTTACAGTATCCTTCCCATGCCACGCCCACCAAGCCACGCCCACAGAACTGGTAGTAAAAAAATTTGAATCCTACCACTGGCTATATTGATGGGAATTGGTTGTGATGCCAGGTTTCTGTTCTTATTGTTTTCTGCTTTTATCTTTCTTTGATGCTTGTGGATGTGTGTGTGTAGTTTCTAAGAAAGTTGTCTCACTAGTCTTTTAAATAAAATATTTATTCCTTTAGGCATTGATAGATTCAAAGGTCGATAGGATATTTGAAATACTGATGGATTTCAAGAGGAAAACCTCTTTCTCAGTTTATCTTTTAACTTTGCTTCTTGTATTTTTGATTTAGATCAGATGGGGAACCATGCTGGCTCAGGAATTCTGGGAGTTAAAGTCCATAAGTCATAAAGGGGCCCTAGTTCCTCATCTCTGATCTAGATGAAAGGGGAATAATCTGGGTTATTAAAGAGAATACACTCATTAGGTTGCAAAGAGCTGACTATTTCATAAGAAACAATTATTTTGTGGGGAGGGGAAAGGAGACCCAATAATACAGTAGTAGAAAACAACATAAAATGTACTGGGAAATAAAATTTTGCAAAAATAGATTTACATCCTGCCTCAAGTGTAAGAGGTACAATCTGTTCCCTCCAATATTTAATAGCTAGAAATATGTTATCACTGTACATTCCATTTATCAACCATAATAGGAGGGACTTCTTTTGAAGAATTCTGGGCTGGTGGAACAAGGTAAGACATTTGTGGGAGTAGTTTTTGTTGCAACATTAAATATACCATGAATAATCTTATAGTGAAGCAAATGCAGATCCAACTAGAGTAAATCAATTCAATTTTAATTGAAATCTTGCACTGTTCTTGATTACATTATGAATTGAATGATATCCTAGGTTAATTTTTTTTTCTAAATGTGACTTTTATAACTTGTAGTATGCAAACTTTTAAATTTAGTTTTATTCTGTCTCACAGAAAATGGTAACACAGTGTTGGGCTGGGCTGGTGAAGAAACAATTTTGTGGATACACAAAGCCAATTTCTGATTATCAAGTTACAAATCTTGGGCCTAAATTCTCAACTGGAATAAATAACCAAACCACAATGTAATGGATGCAATTGCAAAGTTTTGCAGGAACATAGTGGCTATGCTGCAGAAAAAAGAGGTTCTGGAAATTTTATGTTCTTCAAATGCATTATAATAGCCTTGATTGCTTAAATATTAGTTAATTCTTGATACAATAACAATGGAGGATGTTTTGCTAATGAGGAAAGGACAAAGACTTGGCATGAAGGTTTTTTATTTTGTTTTTGCAAATTGCTGAAATTGAAAGTGCCAGCATTTTCTATTGCCAGACGTGATTTCTTGTGTTAATACAGTCAGAAGGGTTGGAAAATATGACTGTATTTTGCTGCGGTTCAACATTCCTACACAGTTGCCAATTTCCTTGTTTTTAAATCAGCTTTATTATTAGGTACTGCTTGGATTTTTGAACTACAGTACTGATATTTATTTCTGCTTTTCAATGTTTGTGGCAGCCTTTTCCCAAATGCTTATTATAGCTTTGCTATCTGACAAATACATGATGTTTTTCATCCCACTATGCCTTGAAGTGGTGCTTGGCAAAACTTTGGGATGGCTAGCAACTTATATTTTCTTCCCAGTACTTATTATGCAAGGATCTGGGCAAAAACCACAAAAGAGCCAAGAAAAAGCAAATTCATATAACTTTTGCCAATGTAAACTGCATAGACGTGTAATATCTAAGAAAGAGTTTTGGACTACCCTTGAGATTCATTAATATTTCATTTTAAAAAGTTTTAGAGAAATGTGTGTAGGAAGTATCATTTAAATTGTAATTTTGAAAAAGGGAAGTGTCTGGTTTCTGAACAGATGGTAAATTCAGGCACACTTAAATGTCTATGGAGATTCTCAGTCATCCAGGTCATGGTTGTCCCAAAGGTCCTTTTTCAAGAGGCAATTGGACTTTCTGTTTTTTCTTTGAAGACGTTTCATTTCTCATCCAAGAAGCTTCTTCAGCTTGAGGCAGGCACAGTTAGTTTGCCCTTGTCAGAAGCTCAGTGTCATGTGACTGTAGGAGGCTGCAAATAGCCATAAATATGATTGTGTTACCAAGCATCTGATGTTTAACCATGTGACTATAGGGGTCAGTGACCATTAGAACTTTAAATCTGTGTTGTAAGTAGCCCCAAGGTAGGTCCATAATTTCAAACAGTTGCTAAGTGACCAGTCATAAATCGATGACTATTCGTACATTGCTTTTTATGGGTTCCTGTAGCTCTCACAAGTTGTAGATGAGGCAAGAACTAGGCAGATATATTTTCATAAATAATCCTCAAGAATGTTTATAGATTATAATGATGATGATGATGATGCTATCTGTTCAATCATATCTGATTATCAGTGATTCTATGGACCAACTCTTTCCACAATTTCTGAATTTGTACAGTTTCTTTTAGTTGTTTTCTGCTCTAGCAGTTGGCTTTGATGGTGTCTAACCACCATGTTTTTTTTTGA